TGGGGGGGTTAGAGACCCTCGGGGACCCCCGGAGGGGGGGGGACAGGGGGATTACAGACCCTCGGGGACCCCCGGGGGGGGGACAGAGGGTGTTAGGTACCCGCGGGGACCCCCGGGGGGCTTAGAGATCCTCGGGGACCCCCGGGACAGCCCCCAGGTTGGGGACAGGGTGACACTGACCCCCCCCAGGATGGGGACAGGAGGTCACAGCCCCCTCCCCCCCATATTGGGGACAGGGTGGCATTGACCCCCCCCCCTCCACCCCCCGGATAACGGGGAGAGCCCCCGGGGGGGGACAGGAGGTCACAGCCCCCCCAGGTTGGGGACAGGGGGTCACAGGAAGGGGACAAGGGGGGGTTCCCATCTGGGCAGCGCCGCTCCCGCAGGGGTGGCACCGGTGGCACCGTGACGCGGGGTGGCACAGGTGGCACGGGTGGCAAAGGATGGCACAGGTGGCCCTCGGTGGCTCTGGGGTGACAGCGGGGGGCCCCCACCCGGGCCGGTGACAGCGTGGGGACACGGGCCGCTGCCACCCGGCGGGTGACAAGGACACTCGTGTGGCCGCCGCGGTCACCGGAGCCACGCGCTGGGGAGGGGCCACCACGTCCCCCGGTCACGGCGACAGTGACGGTGACAGCGAGGGGGGCCGGGGGGAGCGGGGGGGGGGGGGGGGGGGGTGGCACAGACGTCACCAGCGCTGCTGTGACCTTGGAGAAGGCGATTGTCACCTTCCCGCACCCGGCCACCCCCAGTGGGGACCCTCAGGGACCCCCGCCCTGGGGACAGCCACCCCCGGACTTGCTGGCGCGGCCGCGGGGACCGCGGTGACACCCGTGGGGACAAAGGCCGGGGGTCGCGCCGAGTGTCACCCCCTGGTGGCACCGCCACGCCCCCCACCATGGAGAAGCGACCCCAGGGCCACCCCGGGGGTGACAGGGGGGGGTCTCAGGGACCCCCCGGGATTGTCACCCGCGGCTGCTGCTGCCCCTCGGAGCTGCCACCAACGCCCCGGAATGGGGTGGGGGGGGCACCGGGGTGGGGGGAGCGCCCCCACTTTGGGGACACACGACCACCCACCTGTGGCAGCGACACGTGCGGGGACACGCGTGTGACACCCCCAGAGTGTCACCCCCCCCCCCC